GTCGGTGGAGAGGCATATTAAGCTAGTTACAGAAGCTTCCCAAGCGGTTTGCGGTCCAGAAAAACGCGACGGATTCATAAGAGCACGTTTGGAATCAAGATCAAAAATGCCGAAACTGGACACTAAAGCACAACATCATTTGTAGCTATAAAAACATGTTTGACTAGAGTTTTCATGTGTTTTTCTTTTCAAATATTCAGTTCTATTTACTTGTAACTTTCGTATAGACTGTTAAAAATGTATACTGCTACACAAATATGTTGTCATATATAAACTTGAAATTTCAAAAAATATTGTTTTTTATTTGAAATATGCCTATAATTCAGGTCAATTGTGGAACCTCAAGATATGCTTTAAATCGTTTGATTGTTTGCCACATTACTAATTGCATATGTCAGCAAATTTTTATAGCTATCCAACCAAGATATTCAACAAAAAATTTTTTCACTCTATTCTAATATATATATATATATATATATATATATATATATATATATATATATATATATATATATATATATATATATATATATATATATATATATATGTATATATATACATATATACATACACCAGGGATACAGAGTTCCAAAAGGGCTCCTATGAAACAATAAGTCCTTCAAAAGGACTCATGTTTTTAAGCGCGAAGTCCTGGAGTCTATGTCGCTTTTATACCTAGGACTTCGGGTTCTAAAATTGATTGTTCTACTGATAAGTCTTAATTTTTTTCCCCATTAGAAGCCTTTAGGCCTTTTTATATCTTTAAAGCTATTGGATACCAAAAACTAGAAAGAAGTAATCTTTTTGTGACCTTTAACTGCGGATCCCGAAAAAGGACTCCGCCTTTTTCGGGATCCGCATCCATAATATATAGATATAAAGTATGAAAAATATATACATATAAGTTATGAATTTATACATAAAAATTATGAATATTGTTTAAATACAAATTATGAATTTTTTATACAAAAATATAAATGCAATAAGAGCAAAATTAACTATAAAACCTTATGATATCTTTGTACAAATATACAGGATTGAATTGATATAGTTTTTAAAACCACACAAATTAGTTTGTGTTGTAATTGTTGAAGATGATTGATTTTTAAATTTTAAACGTTGTTTTGTTAACAAATCTTCAATGTCTGACTCAAAACATTAAAAAAGTGGATGCCTTTTTTAGAAAAATTTAAACAAGCACTTTCAAATTTTTCTGAGAAATCACACATTTCTGAGAAATCACACAAATCACACACAAAGGCTTGAGATGTTGACATGAATAGAGCGAGATATTTCAAAAGTATAATCCAGTAGCTTAAAAACATCCATCTTTTTCCTCTAACAACAAAAAAATAAATTTATAAATAACTTTAAAAATTTGAACTTTATTACAGAACAATTAAAAGTGCTTTAAAGAGCACAATTTAGATTTTTATTTTCACCAGGATAAAAAACTCAGTTATCTCTTTATTTCAAGTCTTTTTTTTAAATTCTGCATACTACATTTTGTTTAATTGTGCAATAACAAAATTTTCACTACAATAAAATTATAGTTGGTGTAAGTATCATAATTTTAACTTACTTTTAGGACAGGTCCAAAAACTAATTAATAATTTAAAAGCTTGGTAAAATAATCGTGTTTTCCATGAATTTCTAAAGTTAAAGAATAGAAAAAGCAAAAATTAAAGTATTAGTGAATTTCTTTGGTTTAAAAGTGGAATTGAATTGGTATTGTCCATAAATTAAGCAACGCTAAATTTCACTAATAAACAAAGCATAAGAAGATCAAAAGTTTTTTCTAAAAGTTTTGTCATGTAAAAGAATTAAATATTATCTACTTCTTTTTTTTAAATAAACTTTTCATTGCTAAATATATAGACAATCTCTAACTAAATGTTTAAATATTTGTGCAAACAACTTTGAAAAGATATGAAATATATTACAAGAATAATAGCATTTATCTTTTTCATCAGGTTTTGAAAGCTACTCTTAAAATTATATAACTAAAGAAAAAAACAAAGTTGCTTTAACATTCGAAACTTAATTGAGCTGCACATTTGTTTGAAATTAATTCAGCAGTCAGGAATATATTTGAGAAACTTTAATAATCTTCAAACTAACTTTATTAGATAGTTTTGATTGCCAAATAAATTGACTTTAGTAACATTTAAACTAAACTATTGTAATTATGGTAAAACTATTTAATGTCTTTTAATTGTATAATAAGCATCATTATCTTTTGAAGAAACAAAAGATAATTAAAAAACCAAAAGGTAATAATGTTGGAGTATGATTAAGGGTTTTTGTCAGACATATTACTTAAATACACATAATAATAGAAGAGAATACACATAAAAAATACACATAATAACACAAGAGAAAATTTTTTTTTTTTTTTAATTCTTTATATTTAAGAAGATAACAACTGATGCAATAATATCATAACTGTTGTAAATACAACTTAAAATCTGAAATTATATTATTACTGTTTAAAAATATACCACCTATAATTTCAACACTATATTCGTAAATAAAAAAAAGAAAATAATTAAATTCTTATTTAAAAGTTACTGGCAAATAATAAGTTCCGCATCTAAACTTTGTCAATAGAGTTCTTTAAAACAGCCATCTCTAGATTAAATTTTGTCTTGAGCAAAAAGGACAAAATCTAATCTAGATATATAGTAAAATGGGGTCAAATGGAATAGTTAAGAATTTTAATTATTTATTTTTTACGGAAAAAAAATTTTTTTAATTTTTTTTTTAAAGTTGTAGAGAATATTGAGTTGTATTTGAATAAATAAAAATAAAAAATTAAAGTTTTTTATAAAACTTTACTTGATTAAAAAATTTTTATTCCATTCTACACCTACATACGAAGAAAATGAAATACGCAAATGTATTGTAATTAAAACAATACTTTATTAAAAAAATGAAAAGCAATCAACAATAACAATTAAAAAAAACAATCAATAATAGCAATTAAAAATCAATCAAATAAAAAAACCTTTTTTATTCTTGTGGTGATGTTGAGTCGTTCAGAGGTGCTAGAGGTTGAGTTGAGGCACTTTTTGGTGCAATAAAACTCAGCACCTTTTACGTATCGCTTTGGTATGCATGTTTGACATGCATGTTAGCCAAACCTTGCAATTTAATAAGAGAGCAACTAGCGTATTTCATTCATTTCTTAGAATCATTTAATAAAAGCAGTCAGTAAAGGTCATTCATTTAAATTCAGATAGAAAAATTCGTTCATTGAAATTTATACAAAAATTTATAGCTGGAGATTTATTGGTCACTTGAGAATTAATTAAAAAAAAAAAAAACGCGTTTAAGAATTGCTTCACTTATTATTAGCGTATTTTATTTAACTCCGCAATTCTCCTTTTCTGTTTTTTACTCGTAACTTTTTTTCCTAAATAGCAAATTTAATTTTGAAAAAAGATTCTTGATCATTGTAAAAAGTTGTACCCTAAAACCTGTTAGGTTCAATAATATCAAATTTAATTTCCGAGAGTTTCAAAATTATAAAAAAAAGCTTATTACGCGTTCTAAAACTTAACAATTTGTAACAATATTTTTTTTTATTAAAAATAAAATTTGACATCATCTTACTCAAAAAAGTATTTTCTACAACATCGAAAAATATTTGCAAAAAGATTGTTCAATAATTAATTAAGAGCGAAAGAATAAACATTGTCATTACTATTTCATTCAACCCACTATTTCATTTTACTCTGTTTTACTCTAATCTTTATGAATAAAATCTTTTAATATTGTAAAACAAAAAGAATACTAAACAATCACTTAACAAACACTTACGAAAAAAAAACTATAACTTTTATGTCAACTTATAAAAGACTCAAACTACTCTATTATTAATAATATTATTATAAGCATATAGTATAATATTAGTAATATTATTATAAGCAAATCTAATATTAATAATAGTATTATTATAAGCATATAATATATTATTAATAACATTATTATAAGCTGGTTAAATTTGTAATGTTTTAGGTGAAATTTTTAGTAGAAGTTTACTTACACAACTTAGATTCAAGCTATCTAGTATCAGAGTGGTTTAAATAAACTTTTACTCAATTGTTGAGTAGAAATCGATATAAATCATTTTGACTCAAACCAGCTCATACCCTTTAGGTATATCACAAATTGGTTTGTAAAGTTAGATAAACTTCAAAATTGATGTTACTCAAAAAAAGTATATACACTTTTAAGTTAATTGCTTTTTTCATCTAAATTTTGTAAATAAAAATTAAATGAAAGAATTTTACAACTTTAAACACATATGTAATTGTATAGGCTACTGATATATATTAGATTTCCATAAATTTAATTCCTAAAAATACAATTTTGTTTTAATACCAATATATTTTACTTCACTCACCAAACAAGTTTTTGTCTGCCCGACTAACTTCAAATGAACAATTTTTTGTGCCGGCTGATGACGTAACCACTTAAAAAAAAATTATTCAAGTTACAAAACCGAACATGGAGTTGCAATAGCGAACAAAAAAAGTTACATTAAGTAACAAGAGATGCTTTACCGAACAAGCATGTTGCCATACAGAACATTTTAGTTGCTTTACCGCACATCCATATGATCACCATCATCATCATCATTATCATTATCATCATCATCATCATCATCATCATATTTTTAATGAATTATAACTTATCAACTACTCAACTTGTAAATAAGAATATTGAAATAAACAAATTTCTTTTGTTTTCCTCTCCTCTGAATGAAAGTTTCCCCGCAAGTTTTTTCTAATTTTATTATGTACAGTACAGTTTTTTCATTTAAAATCTAACAAACTGGCTGTAAATCCAAAAGGAATAGAAAGTTTATAAAAAAAAATGTAGTCTTTCCTAAACTTATGTTTTTAAATATTTTTTGCCAAATTTCAGCAAATTTGGTTTTAAACAATAACTCTGCACAACACAGAACAAATTCATATTATAATACTCATTTTAAGGGAATAGCATTAACTGATTTAAAATATCAACCCCCATTGGTATGGCATTTTCCTGAACATAATCTTCCAGATGATCCTGCACAAAGGTTAGAATAATGATTTTTTTCTTCTTTTATTTGTCTATCATTGGAAATAAAGTGTCTTTAAATAAAATGAATACCTTTTTAAAAATAACTTGCTTTTGTTCAATCATTTTTAAATAATAAAAAACCAAAAAATGATAAAACAATTCTGGAATTTTTCTATTAATAGTTCCAAGTTTTGTAGTTTTCCCTAGATAGTTTTGTAAAGATATTTAGAGATTTTTTTTTATCTATTTTAAATATTTTTTGTAGGTTTAATTTTCTGTTTAAAACAAGAGAAAAATGGACTTACAAAGAAATCGAACCTTATCTAAAGTAAGTATCAGGTTATAGTCTACAAACTGTTTGATACATTTCATATTACAATTCATTATATTAATTGTGTGAGTTTGACATTTTAAAACAATTTGATATGTTCTTCATCTTTCTAAATTTTTTTTCTTTTTTTTATTAATCATAAAAGCATGTTTTTAAAAGTTTTGCAGTTTCTTCTATTTTTAATATCTTTTCTTCCACTTGACTAGAATTTTTCATTAAGTAACTTGTCCAAAAATTTTATTATTATTTGTTATGTTATCAATATATTCGCGTAGTGCTATGTATGTAATAACTCTCCTTTTGAAGCGTGGGTAATAGTGTTATGGGTTTAAGTTCTTCCCAGAGAGAATTTTTTTTGTAAATTTCAATGTTTTATTTCTAGGAGGTCAGTATGTATGCGTTAGTACAAATAATGTTCTCACTACATTGTGGTTGACAGACTGTGGCCCAAAATCCTGAGTAAAAAGTTTAATTGTATGTCATTATTTTATCTTAGGTCTAGTGATAAAATTCATCAATTCTCTAATACTTGATCAAAATTTGCGTTTAAAAATTTTTTATTTAAAAAGTCTTTTTAGAAAAATTTTGTAAAGAAAGCAATTGAAATGTTTTTTAAAACATTTATTTGAATAAAACATCAAATAGTGTTATTTATTGACTAGTTTAGGGCATTTATAGTCATGGGCTAAGGGAGGGTCAGGGGTCTCTGATTAACTCCGCCCCCCTCCCCCAATCTCCCTGGATGTTTTTGTTTTTTTTTAATTTATTTTTAATACTTAAAATGAGTTAAAAACATAATTTTTTTTTTAGCTTAAGTTTGAGAAACAATTTATTTTTATTAATTCAAATCTCAAAGTACTCAAAGTACTCTATACTTTGAAATAAGATTTATCGATTTGAAATAATGAAAATAAATTGTTTCTCAAACTTAAACTAAAAAAAAATTATGTTTTTAATTCATTTTAAGTATTTAAAAAAATCAAAAAAAAACATCCAGGGAGGTTGGGAGGGGGTGTGTGGAGTTGGTCAGAGACCCCTGGCCCTCCCTTAGCCCATGACTATAAATGCCCTAACTGAGATCTTTTCATGATTTTAAAAATCATAAGTTTTAAAACCAAAGATATTGAAATATTTTTTAAAACATTTAAAAAATCAATATTTTAGTATTATTTTGTAGTAAAAAATTGCATTTATTGTCTAATCTCTTTATTTTCTCACTATTCTCTGTCTACTGATTTAATATTTGTATATATTTTAATCACTGGCTAATCATTTTTTAATTACTCTGAGTCTGTTTTGTGTGGTAGCTATTGTCTCTATTTATCTGACAAGATTTATATGAAAACATATTAATGGAGTTACCACATTTTCTTTCATATTTTCGACTAACTACTTTCGCACTAACCACAAAACATCTTAACTTAGTATCAATGTTTATAAGTGGCATTTACTTATTATATTTATAAGAGATATTTTAGCCGTAAAAGAAACAGTAAGTTACTCCTAATTATTAATTACTATTTTCTATTCGCTTTATTTTATTCCTACACATTAAAATTGTTTATTTTAATACATGCTCATATGTGCATGTGTACAAGTTTGTCTCTTCTAAAGTAAGTGTACATTATATTTATGTGTTTACATATTTGTTTATGGTTACACCACACGCATCCCTCACCACCCTCACAAGATCTTTAAGAATGTTGGAGCTGTATTAAAAACTGGGATAGGGATTGGGTTATTTCGCTTTTGCAGTGTAGTCCTATTATATTGCAATATTTATTAGCATGACGTAGAGTGCCTTTTTTAACCTAGTTTTTTTAACCCTGCATGACTATTGTTTAAAATGTCTTTAGAGTGTATGTGATGCAGTTTTCTAAAATTCGTAATTTTCTTGCTATTTCTCTATTACTTATGATTGAGCGATCCTTCCTAGCTATTATTTGCCACTTTTGCTTTGCACACTGCTTTTCGACCCATTTCTGTGTATATTTACTTTTAGGTCTTATCAAAGTATTTAAAAAGGCTTTAAATGTGACTAGACTTAAATCATAAATAATTTTATTCAACTTTTAAAAGGAAATTGTGAAACTAACATATAAATTAATAAAATAGTTATGAATAACAGATAGGCGGACAAGAATGGAGAACGGAAATCAATTAAAAAGTTTGTGCACCTATTTTTGTTTGTTTTCTGTATTTCTTTAAAAAGTAAATTATTTAAAAAAAGTAATTAAATATGAACTTCTTTTTTGACATGTTAGTTGTAGAGAAATAATATCCTGACGTTCAAAAAAAATTAAGTCTTATAAAAAATTAAGAAATGAGTTTTAACATTGTTTAAAAAAAAAAATGAACTCAATTTTATATTGCACCTATTTTTATTGAAAGCACTGTAAAATGTGAAAATTTTATATTGTTGCATTATTGTTAACAATATTAGCCAACATTAAGTATTGTACCAATATTACACTGTTGCGTTGCTACTAGAGAACTTAATCACAACTCCTCTTTTTTTTTGTTGTTTAAATGGTTAAAAATAATTTTGTGACATAACAATAGGAGGCTGAATAAAAAAAAGAAAATACTTTTACTCAGCGTTTTTGTAATAATTGCTCAGTTTTACATGAATAAAAATTTGAACAAAATCTCTCAAATTTTTATTCACATAAAGCTGAGCAAACTCCAAAAACGCTGAGTAATTGCTTTGCTTTACAATGGTTTTTTAACACTTTAAAAATTCTAAAACTTTGAAAATAAAAATTTTAGAAAATTTGATCAATTTTTTATTCTCATAAAGCTGAACAATTACTCTAAAAATGTTGAGTAGAAGCAATTGCTTTTTTTTATTCACTCCACCTAATAACAATACTACATAACAATAATTCCCATTGGTAAATATGGTAACTCATTGTAAGGACTAAAAAGTAGAAAATAAAGTATAGCATAAAATATTTGCTGAAAAAAAATAATTCTCTTTTGTTCTAAAAAGCAGAAAATCGGTTTCGAAATGAATCTTGTGCAGACCTGTCAATCTTTAGTTTACTGAACTATTAAATTTAAATCAAAAAGTTTATTTTCTAGTTTTTAGTACAAAATAGATTATATTTTTTAGCAAATGTTTTTGCTGTATTTATTGTTACTATCATTATTTTAAGCTCACCAATGGTTTTATTCTATATTACTTTCTTGAAATCTTTTTTATTTTTTTTTCTAACATACTGTTGCAGGCTGCTTATCATGGCCATTTATCACCCATGTTGGGGCAAATTATCTAAAAACTTCAAACCTATTACAAGATTTTATTAATCAATCATGGTAAATGGGAAAAATTCATTTCCTTAATTGGTTATGTTGGATGTATTAATCAAACTTATATACTCAAGTGGTTATGTTAGATGTATTAAGCAAGCTCGTATACTCAAGTGGTTATGTTTGATGTATTAAACAAACTCATATACTCAAGTGGTTATGTTAGATGTATTAAACAAACTCGTATACTCAAGTGGTTATGTTTGATGTATTAAACAAACTGGTATACTCAGGTGGTTATGTTTGATGTATAAGTATCGATTTTAAATATGCATTTCATAAAATCTCTGTTCTTTTTGCAGCTAAAAGATGAATTTAAATTACCAGAGACAGTTATTTTGATTAAATCCTATTTTGGTCACCTTTTTCAAAAGGTCATAGTTTCTGGTGTGACTTCAGATTCTGTCCCTTGTAATAAACATTAAAAGTGGAGCTTGTCAGAGATTGGTACTAGGTCCATTTCTTTTTGTTATGTTATTAAATGGAATGTCATTACTTGATGAATCCAGATGATTGATCCAAAAATATCTTAAACTTGTATGCTAATGGCATATTGATAATTCATTGGAAGAGTTAATAATTTACTAACCTGGTGACTAAAGTTGTATGTCGATGAAGCGAAAGTTGAATTTACTGATTTCTTTATTGAAGAATCAATTTACAAGAAAGAATTTACAAGTAATTGCTGCTTCAAGTAATAAAACTAGTTCGTTTCCAAACTCCTTAGGGTGACATTACAAAGTAATCTTAAGTGGAACAATCACTTCAAAAACATCCATCAGAAATGCACTGTAATGTAAGTTCATTGCCTGGAATTTTCAATTTTTAAAATTTAATTATGCTTCATTATATATCTATTCACATATGGCTTGTATTTTTAATAGTCGTCATTCTTTGAAACTGTTTCACATATGGCTTACGCTTGTGTTTTTTAATAGTTGCAGTCATCATTTTTTGAAACTGTCAATGATAGAGAAATGTACTGCAATTATATGTAACAAACATATCCTATTTAACTCTCAAAACGTCTTGAAGGCATCTGCCTAAGATTAATAAAAAGAATTGCCGTGTCGATTGATTTTTTTTTTTTTAGAGCATTTTTTTTTTAATCAGAATTATTGTGTGAAAAGTCTGAGGAATTCATGTCTGCTGCACAACCTAAAATATAGGCGCTCAAAGATATCTTGCAGTATAAAAAATCAATAATAGTTTGCAATAGTAATAATAATAAAATTTTCTGCAGTTGAATTTTGTGATTCATCTTTGTAGCTTGGCATCATACTCTAAGTGCTTGCTCGATCTCTTGTATCTTAGCGTATGGGTACTGGAAAGATAATGGAGTCTTTCAGTTGCTTGCCGTTAATAAATTCCTACAGAGCTAATGCGGCAATAAATGAATTGTGGAATCTGTTTGACAGCATGAACTATTGGAGCTTTTAAAAACTCCAAGCAACATGTGGTGCTCCATTAGTGGAAGATCACCAACAGCAAAAGATTAATTGATGGATGGGTGCATCAAATAAATTTCTGATTACACTTCCTTTATTGAAGTCGTTTTGACTTTGGAAACCAATTTTTTTAGAAACTTACTTTTAAGAAGCCACCACCATTAACTCCAAGTTTTACAATTTAGTCAGAAATGTTTCTGGTTTCAAGCTGCAAAAGTAGTTTTAGATTTTTGCATTAAATTACAAGTTAAGTTATTTGTTTCGTTGTCAATTGCAACTTAGATCCAAGTTTTCATAAACTTTTAAGTTTTTTGCTCACTTGGTCAAACTTAGAATGAGTAGATGTTTTTCTCAACAATTTGACTTGGAATAATTTGATTAAGAGTTGATTCTACTAAATAAAATTTTTTATGAGGTGATGCTTTCTTGTTAGCAATGATTGATGCTACAACTTTTACATTGTAATACTTCTCATTGACTACCAATGATAGTATAGTTTACACCAGAAGTTTTAGGTTGAATCAATTTTCAGAGCCCTTAAAAGTATTTTGCGAAATTATTTTGAATAAACCATTTTTACAGTTTATTAAGTGTTAAACTGTTCGCTGTTTGCTCATCTACAATTCTTAAGTTTAGCGCTACGATTTTTATATACAACTATGCACACTAAAGTTTAATTGTGATGGTAATTTTATATACAGCTATGTACAAAAGTTTAATCAAGATGGTAATTTTATATACAGCTATGTACAAATGTTTAATCGAGATGATAATTTTAATCGAACTTTTCAGGGTTTTTTCAATTAAAAAAAATCAGGAAAATAAATTTAATTAATTTTTTTTATTTTTAGAAGAGTAATCAATTAGCTATACAATTAACATTAATAAGATAAAGAAATAATTCAAAAAAATTAAATAAATAATTATATAATCATAAAATGAGTTGCATAAAAGTTTAATCGAATTTAAGTTTAGAACACAAAAAATTAAAAAATAAAATAAAAATTTAATATTTAAAGTGTCCTCCTTTGGCTCAATAGCAAAGAAGCACTCGTCTCTGCATTGATTTGACCATTTTCATGCACATCTCATGCGGCAGTTTTAACTGGTATTCGTTCAGAAGTTACTTCAAATGCTCAGTTAATTGAATTTATGGTTTAGCAATTGAGTGTCGATCCATAACCAAATATTTTCTATTAGGTTAATATCTGGTGATCTAGGGCACCAAGGCAACAAATCAAGCTTCTTTGTATAAAATCAGTTTGTTATACTATATGCTGTGTGTGCCGGAGCCCCGTCTTGCTGGAAGATGTATCGCTTGCTTCTGCTGTACAATTGTCTTGTCGATGGAATTAAACGTGTTTCAAGTGTATTTTGTAGATATATTGGTTGACACGGCCATTATACAGCTCACAAAAACCAAGGCCTTTGTGGGAAAAACATCCCTATATGCCTACTGAGCCTCTGCCACCTTGTCGTCTTGCTTGTAAATAGCGCTCGCAATATTTCTCAGTTGCAAATCTTTCAACGTATATTTTTCCTTTGCGGTTCATAACCTGAAAATTTGACTCATCGCTCACTATCACTTTTTCCCAATCTTCAACTGCCCAATGGAAACGTTCTTTTAGAAAAGGATTGGTTGAATATTTAAGCCAGCTTTTTGTTGCTGAGCCAAGGATTTTTCTACTGGTTCTGAATATGCTACTTTGGTCACGGTCACTAAGCTTCAGTGGTCTTCCAGAACGAGGCATGTCAACTATGTTACCTGTTAGGTTTTAACTGTTTTTTGTACACAAAATTCAGAAACACCCATAAGTTTACTATTTTCAACATTGTTAGGATTCTTTGATTTGACCAGTCCAATAATGTCGTTTGATGCTCTCTGATACTGCTTTTCTATTCATTTTCAAGCAAATTGAAATTTTAAATATTGCAGTTATTCTTTAAATAATATTTTGCAATTAAAATATTTTTTTTGTAATTTTAAAATTATTTTTTTTTTTAAGAATCATGAGTACTCTTTATATTTATAATTTATAGCGGTAATTAAGTATAATTATTTGTTATACAGTGTAAAAAATATATAATTAATTCGATTAAACTTTTATGTCATCAGTAAAATATATTCTATAACGCTTAATTAGTTTTACAAAAGTAGTTTAGCATGTGTGAATATTTATTTTGTCTATTTTATCAATACAAACATAAATAGCAAAACACAAAAAAAACTTAAAATCTATATCCTATAAACTTTAATGTTAGAAAAACTGGCACATAGTTATGAAAAACTCTCGATTAAACTTTTGTGCAAAGCTGTACATTCATCCTAGAATTCCTTCATGCTGAATTAATCTCTAAGGAAATTATAGTGTTGCAATTGTTATTGATTTTGCAAATAGAACTTTACAAAACATTAATAATTGTCCAAAGGAATTCTTGTGTAGCGATCTATACAATCATGAAAGTAATATTTTTAACAATAACTCTCTAAAAACCCTATGAAATTTAAACATTTTTTAAACCCATTTTGAAACCTTAACATTGTGGAACCCTAGACCGCAGCATAGTTGGCCTATAGATATCTGGGATTTCCTGGGGTCATAAATCAAACACTTTTTACTTTTTTTTTCAACAGTGAATAGTTTTACTTTTTTTTTTTGGTATTATATTCACATTTCATTTAACTTCAGGCATAAGTCGTTATTTTATAATAACATTTTATTATATTTTATTTAAAAATATCTCCGGTTTTTATTTAGACTCCATTAACAAAGGTTATTTCTTAATCTTGGCCTCCATTCCACTTTTTAAATAAGCTTATGTATCATTCTACATTTTATGTATTATAGTGTTATTTTACGTACGTACATAGCGATCCTTCCAGAATTTTATAGACGTTAAAATCCCGAGTTTAAAAAATGTTTGATCGTGTACATGTAAAGCTTCCTTTAAACAATAAAATAATGGCCTAATGCCACTTAATTCCATGAACCTAATTTCTTTTAAAAAAATGCCATGGCAACACTGGTGCACAATATTGCTTTTTCTACTCAATTTTTTTACTTTCTATTTAATACTTTTTTGCTATTCAGTTTTTAATTACAGTTCAAGTAAAAATTTTATATTGGTTTCCATTTTTCAAAGTTTGAAAGTATACATGATTGCATTATATCTGACTTTTCAAATTGATATATCGAAGAATGTAATATCTGTCGATACATCGCCTTGATTATCCAACATCAGATATATCGGTCATATTATTTTTAGGTAGATAAAAAAATTAGGCGCCGTTATATATTTATAAAGATTTTTTCTATTTTTAAAATTTGTAAAGATTCAACGCTGCATTGTAGTTTAATTATTTTTTAATGTGATTGCAAATAGTAAAATTGAGATTTATAATCTTTATTATTCTTATGTCATTTTAGGTACTGAACTTTTTATTATCATTTATAGATTTTTATACTTAGATTTATTCACATGGTTATAACTATGTAAAAGTAACCATCCGTTTACTTTCAACCACGTACTCAACTAATAAAGTTTTTTCACGAAAAGAATTGTTTGCATAAATCAAATTTTTTAGTAGTAATGATTTGTTACACGAAACATATTTCCGGAATTCTGGATATTTTTTTCAACTATTAGTTTTTCCGGATATCCAACACATTATACATACATGTAAATTTAGGTGTATATTTTTGTGATATATTTGTTATTTAAGCTTTTTCACTCATCACTCATACAAAGATTATGAAAGGTTTGAAAAAAAATTATAACAACACAGCTAAAAGCAAAATTAGAAGAAAAATAAGGAAAAACATTCCGGATTTTTAAAATATGACTTGGATGATTTATGAAAACATCTTTCGCGTTGTTCGCTATCTTTATCAATGATAAATATGGCGGCATTAAGTTTACGTGTTGTGTTGCTTTTGTAAATAAAATAGTTTTAAAGCAAAATAAAAATAAGAATTATATATTATTAATTACTTCAATATATAACGTCTTTTTACGCAAAAGTCAAATTAAAAATAACTACTAAGACTCTAACTAGTTTGTTTAGAAAATACGAAAACGTAATTTATTTTTATTTGCCTTCATTCAATTCTTTTATATACAATAGTTAAGATATTTTTGTTTGTCTTTTTAAACCTTTTTAATATTAGATCTTAACTTTAGTATTATGTGTCTTTAAATTTATTATTACTGAAAATCAATGTGAAGATAATTTGACTGATAATTTATTAGTCAACACCCTTTTTTTAATTCTTTAAATATTTTTTTTTTACTGTTTTATCAGTTTGATCTTTAGAACAATTAAAACTATCTGTTCTTTAATATTATTTTGTGCTTATCATTTTCCTTCGATTTCAGAGTAGTGACTAAATTTATTTATTTAGTTTTGTTTTGACTCTCTTGGCACTGCTGAATGAATTTTTAATAAACAAGATAATCGTATGTACATGGAAGCGCTACTTTTTCAGTGCTGTCGTCACGTGATATAATGTTCAAATTTTCATTGGTTTTTGAGGATTCAAAAAAAAGTTGAATGATAATTTTTTTGGATCCTCAGCGAAGGGAAATTATCAAATCAAAGTTATCAAGAATGTTACGTTTTTGCATGCTTATCGAAGAAAAAAAAATTGCTTCGCGTTGATTTGTCTAATGGAAATCTCCTTATTATACGCGTTATTTTTCTGGCCGCGTTTATGCAGAATAAAATTTTTATTAATGCAAAATAATTTGAATTTATTTGATTAGGAATCGGTTGATCAAAGAAATCAAGTATAGTCAAATAAATGCGAAGAATAATGAATTTATATAATTTACTTGAATAAATCGGAGCAGTTATTTTTGCGGAAGGTTCCTACTGTTGCAATCAATAACAACAAAAATCTATAAGTCTTATTAAAGTTTATAGAGAATTTTTTTTATTTAATATTTCCGCCTTTTTCCTATTTTAATATTATTTAACTTTTTAGGAAAAGAAAAATTAAAAAATATAATACTATAAACTTAATATAAAACAATATAAACTTATTTATAGAAATAAAAAAACCCTAATATAAATATATATAATATATTTATTTATCAAACATATAATATACTATAAAAATTTATAATTATATATAATAAAGATATAATATGATAACGAAATAATATTTTTTTAAATACATTAAGTCTGCACTTTCCAATAGGCATTACGATGTCTGCATCGTTATGTCTAATGCAGTTTGATGTTACTTTTTTATTGTTGTAGTTACAAATTACGTTATAGAAACATCGTTGGATCAAATGAAAATCTGAACACTCTTTTACTGAAATTCACTCGCTCGTCGACTGCTGACAACGGAGAAAAAGTATACAACTCAAAGAGACCTCTTGTATAACATTTTCTGAAGCAAAAAAGCATTTGCAATTTAGTTGACAAGTTTATTTAACAATGTGATTAAATTAAATTATGATTTCAAAGTTTATAAATTGCACTAAAAATTCTAGAAAATAAAGCAACATGATGCGATATATCGTATTTTTGTAATATAAAATCTTTAAGTAAACGGTAAAAGTAAACTTTAAGTAAAAAAGTAAAATTCGGCTTTACGCAATTTTCCCCCAAATTTGTTTATTTTCGAGTACTGCCGGTTCCTCAGTGGACAATGTGTTTGAAAATACACATGCATCTTGAGTTATTTGTAATCCATCTAAATCTATATTTAAAGAAAAATATTTCTTGTATAATAAACTCTTGTGTATAGTTTTTATAGAAAAATAAAAAAAATCAAATACCGTATTTTCGTTTTTTATCGACGATTCTAGAGACCATAATCTTAACACAAGTTCCAGATTCTCGCAGTACGCGGACAGCTTCTTCGTGCGTAACATTTCTAAAATTGTGTTCATTTACCATTAAAATTTGGTCACCTAGTAATATGAAAGATTCAAAAACTGTTTAGTTAATTTTTTTTATTTTTTTTTATGACAGTTATAAAAAGTAGAGGACTACTAACAAATCACTCACCGATTTCCAAAGTATTATATTTGTAGCATAGTCCATTTTTATCAACTGATTTTACATAGATAAATTTAGCCTTGGCATTTACACCACCTATAATAGTAATGCCTAAACTCTCACTCGATAGCTTTCTTATTTCAAAGCTCAGTAATACAGTTTCTGGAATAGCTGCGAGTTTACTTAAGGCTTTATGAACTGCTCGGCGACCATCAACTATGAATAAAGACAACAATTAAAAAAGGTTGGTTTAACGTTTAAAAACTTACAAAAGAAGAAAAAAATACTACCTATGCTGTTGTTTTCGCTTGCAGTCATTAGACTGGATATTGTTGTTCTAGTAATAATTATGTACACAAAATTTTCAGCTGTTTGTTTCTAAAAAACATTACCATATAAAATTATTCTCATCATAGTGTTTCAGCTGTGGCAAGTTCTATTTAAATGTTGTTCTATAGACTACCGTTTACGTATGCATTTATATTCGATGTTTATTATGTACTTAATAAGTCCATTCATGTGTATATATTTTATTTATCAGTATACTTGGAGGAGGGGGTTTTTTTAAAAAAATTTTAATTTAAAAACAGCAGATGGTTAAAACGATGTAATAATATATCCATGAACGAATTGTTGAAAATTCCCGATTCAACACAAAAAAAGTTGCTGTCTTTATGTTTACATTTTTTATTAAAGTTAATCCTGCAATAAAAACCCGCAAACAAAAGATGCAAATCATAAAAACAAAAGATTTGTTTTAAATTTAAAAATATCTCTGTGCGTTAACTAATGGAAATGAATAATGAATTTTTTTTTACGACAAAACTGCGTATAATAGAAATCTCAGTAAAGTTTGATGATTAAGGCAGGATAATTTATTTTTAAGTATTAAGAAACCTTCTGTTCTTTTAGGAATAAACTAATTGAATTCAAAAATCTGCCGCAAAATGCATCTAGAAGCACAAAATAGGAGCTCAAGTAGAAAAAAAGTTAATTAAAAAGTATTATAGACGAGCTAATAATAAGTGCTAGCCGATGTATAAATATTTATTCAAATCGACTTCAAAATTTTAAAAATAAAAAAAATAAAAACTTATTAATTAAACGATTCCAATATATATGCTAACTTGGAGTAAGTTTTTTTTAAACTAACGAGTAGTTTTTTTGTTAACATTCTTTAATAAAAACAACTTGATTAAATACAAAGAAATACCTCATTAATTTAAACAGTAAGCTCTCTTATTAAGTTTTATAGTTCTATTTTATCTCTAATCGAAACAACAATTAAACAACTGACAGATATAAACGATTAAATGTATAGTTTTACTACAAGTCTGCGTATGCCAACGTTGATTCATTTAATTTGTATATGAATATCTCAAACAATTTTAAATTCACGATCGAATGAGCATTTATAAAAGTCTATGGCTCAAAAGCCTTCTGTAATTACTTGCGCTTTTTGTGTCGCTTACAGTTTTTTATTTAAATAAAATGAATTGGAACAAAAAATTTTGGACTAAGACCATACTTTATTTAAAGTTTTAAACATACTTGATTAAAATCTAGGTCAATCTAGATTTTTAACCAAAGTAGTTCAGAAGTTTTGCATTTATAATGTGTATGCATGCGGTTCAATAATTTTCTTTTACTATAAATAATTTATAAATAGGGTTTGGTCTCAACTAAAAGTTTAATTCAATAGCGAAAATAGGCATTAGAATTTTTTTTTTTTTTTTTAGAATAGTGCTGCTAAATGAAGTTTTCATATCCAAAATTTTTTTATTTGTTTTTCAATAATTATGCATTATTTTCATGTATAGTGAAATAATAAAAATAAGCAAAATTTAATTAATAAAAAATTAAATTGAATATTCAAAAAGTTTAGTGCGCTTGTTAGCCCTAAGCTAGAAGTTTTCGTACTTTTTTTTATTTCATGTATTAACTTTTTTCCTTGTTTTATTGTTAAAATGCTCTTACTATATCTTTTTTTTTTTTTAGATTTATTCTATTAAATAAGTTTGTTCTTAAATTACTTTAACTGGTTACTAGTTTTTAATTAACTAGGAAAGAAAAGACAAAACAAAGGTGTTGACAAAATTTGCAAAAAATCAAATAATTTTCAGATAAATATGCATAATTTTCACGCAAAAATCACTGCTGTCAGGAAATTTTACTGCCATATTATTTTTGTTGTTGTTTAAACTTTTTCATTCAAAAATTTAATGAAAAAGTTTACACAACATTTTCATGAACAATGAAGAATCCACCTTTGTTTACTTCAATCGTCAAAGGTATATTCTACAAATGTATCGAAAAATTTAGGAGCGATATAAAAGAAAGTCTAAGAGAAACATTTTGAATTATTAAAAACTAATCGTTTAATTTTTAGCTTCTCCACATTAAAGACATTTTATATATATTTTATTTTGAAATGAAATTAATATACCCGCGTTACGGATGTGTAAACGTGAGCCTCCTAGTTAAACAACTTTTTGTGGCACTTTGTGACAAGACTGTTAGGCTTTTAAAGACAAAAATTAAAACACTCTAAAACCTTACTTATTTTTTATTAATTCAATTTAACCGAAGCAAAAAACATGTTCAAACAAATACACATAAAAAATAAAAATTTGCAATCTAAAAGTCTTACCATTAGTAAGAGGTAACTAAGAGTGTTTGCGGTTTTCGTTTTTAAAATGGAATAACGGTCTTGTCACTAAGTACCGCAAAAGAGAATTTAACGAGGAGGCTTACGTTTACACGCAAACGGCATATGAAAACACAATGGCAAATGAAACAAAGGCGTTCTTGTTTTTTGGAACCTCAGCCTCTATCACGGACGTTTAGATATTAGAAAAAAGCGGAAAGTTATTAGCCTTTGAAAAAAGTATTGCACAGCAAAATTAAGAGTAACGAAAACTGTCTAAAAAGATCACAGTTTAAAAAAGGTTTTGGTTTAACTTTTAAAAAATGATAATAAAGAATCTAGTTTTGATATGTTCAAACTTTTAGAGAAAAAAAGTTTGAACTTGAACCTCTTAAAAAATGACAAAAGTTCGAATGTTCGAACTTATACATGTTTGATTAGGAAGCCCTAATTTCGAGGATATAAAGGTGTATGATTTGAAGGAAACAATGCAAGCAAGTTTCGAAAATTGGTGGATGTTCTTGAGTGAGATATTAGAAATACTGAAGAATATGACTTATTACCAGTTGTATATCTGTCTTAGAAAGTTAAAATAATTTAAAGTCTTAAGTATGGTAACAGTGAACAACATTGAAAGGCTCTTCGGGAAATTAAAGAGTCCTACGCAGATTTGGTTGAAAGTTATTAAGCGCAATAAAATTTTATAAACTTGAGAAATTAAAAAATGACTACAGACCCTCAGCAATAAAAAAAAATGTAATTAAAAAACCAGTTATTTGTATATTATAAGTCATAATATACGTTTCTAATTATTTATTAAATTAAGTAAGTTTATGCATAGATTAATTAATAAATCTATGTATAAACTTACTTAATTCAATAAATAATTAGAAATTAATAAAAAAACATAATAAAAAATGTTTTAAATAAAAAAAATAAAAGCACAAAAAAGTTACTTTTTTCCTGATTGGTTTACAATTTTAAAAATAATTTTGCTCATTATTTGAGCGTTTAAATTAAATTTTTTTGCGTGTTTCAATTAACTAAAATTTTACACTTTTTGGTAGTTGGTTTTAAAATAATTTAAAACTTATAATTGAATAAATAAAAAAATTTAGACTAGCAACTACTTATTTGTTTTTCTTTAACATTGTCTACTTTCCAGTTGCTTTTTTATACTGAAATCTGTAGGAAGGTAAATTGTTTCATGTAGCCTGTTGTTGCAAAGAGAAAAAGAGTGTCTCAATATTAAAAGCATATATAAACAATAAAACATGCTTTAATATAATGTGAATATAGTTTTGAGAGTCTTCTTGTTAATTGTTTGAGCTGACCTTAGCTGTTTTACCTGATAATTCTATTGTTTTCCAAAAATAAACTCTTTGTTTTTGTTAACTTTATTATAAGAATAACTTCAATTTGCTTTAAATAAAGTATTTTGCAATGTCCCAGAAATTATTTTATATATAAAAATTAAAGTGTTTATGTTTCAATAAAGTATATTTGTAAAAAAATCTATAGTAAATTTTAAAATTCTTTTTTAAAATTGTGAATCAATGATAAACTTTGCATTGAAAAAAAAATCTTTTTAAATTTTTTATATATCTGAGGGGATTCCCACCCTGTATATTTCATTTTATTAATATGTTGTATATATTGTTATCTCTCAAATTCTTATTTATTACTTTCTAATTTTATTAGTCACTGCGATAATTTTATTTTAAATTAATGGGAACCTAACCTAGGACACGAAGTTATTTAGTAGTAAGTCAACAAATTTTTTCTTTATTTTTATAAATGGTTATTTATTGACCTAATAATTTAAGAATAATACTTTACATAACATAGAGACAACAAAAATGTTAAAATTGAAATTAAATTATAGTTAAAACTCTTTTTCTAGTCTTTTAACAATCTGTACCTACTACTAATTAAGTGCAAAAATATTTAAATTTATAATTTTGTGTAAATTGAGTAAAATGAAAAAAATCAACTTTCTTTCTAAAAACCATTAAATAATAACTTTTTCTTTTTGCATGGGTCACTTTACTTACAAATAAATGTTTTTAACTGTTGACATTGTATCTTCTTTTATTTTTGTAACAAGAAAATGTTATTACAACTTTTATTGCAATAATTTTAAACTTCAAATGTGATTATCGTATCTATGGTCATATCTATCATATCTAATCATTTCCTATCATATCTATGGTCATATCTATCATATCTAATCATTTCATATCATATCTATGGTCATATCTATCATATCTAATCGTTTCATATCATATCTATGGTCATATCTATCATATCTAATCATTTCATATCATATCTATGGTCACTATCTGATTATTTCATGTCTAATATCAAAATGTGGTTATGAAATCAAATAGATGGAAAATATTGGTTAAAATGTTTTTTGTACAGCTAAATATAGTTTCGAAAGTAGGGTTTTGTTTATTTGAGCAGGTGGAATATCAAAGTTTGAAGAACATAAATATAACCTTTTTGATCAAAACGTACTCTTAGATAAAATACTATTACCATGGATACCATGGATCAAAAACCTAAAAATACCATCGATCAAATTACTTTTTATTTACAGAAGATACCATGCATCAAAATAATTTGGACTTATAAACGGGGAAAAGACTTCACAAATGCTGTGTTTTTTCTATTTGAATTGCCATTTCGATAAAATACTTGTGTTATCTTTTTTGTTGTTATAAAATGTTTTAATATTATCAATTTTAAAAACTGGTGTTCGGTTTTAAATAAAAACTTCAGATGCTTTTAGAATGCAGATTTTATTAAATAAATTTTTTTTTTTTTAAAAAACAAAACATTTAACTATTAAATTTATAACAAAACATGCAACTTAAAAGTAAGGGGAGTAAGGGGAAGTTATTTCAGTTTAAACTATACTATAATTAATTCAGTTAGCATAAAAAATAACAACTACAACAAAAACGTTTTTAGTTAAAATAATTTACAAGAGAATAAAAATAGCTGGCTTACTTTGATTGGCTAAAATAAAGAAAATGACCATTGTTCAACTGTTATCATAATATGCAATGAAGAAAAACACAAAATTATACAAGATTCAGAAGGTTTTGAATTCAAAATAGTTTATAAAATATATAAGCATTGGTTTTTAGATTTTTTGTTTTAGCTAGCATAGTGAAAACGCGTTTAGTTAGAAAACTTTTTAGAATTTGATATCACCATAGATTATTTTTAGGAACTAGAATAGTTTAACCTTATTATTGTTAGATTTAATATTTTACTAGGCGACTTTATTATTGAGTTTTTTGATGTCTAAAACTTTGTTGTACTTTGGGCATGAAATTAATGTTGAAGATATGCTCTTTTTTTTTCTATATTATTATTTTTTTTTTAATTTTTCATTTATCTATGCACCTGCCAAATTTCATTGAAAAGTATTTTGTAGCAGGGTATCTATTTTTAATCGCACTTTTGGTACCTAATTTTCATTCACCTAAAATGGTCGCGGGAGACAGAGGGGTTATTTAAACATTTTTTATATTTGATTTAACTTTCAATGCTCATCCGCGGTGCTCTGTGATAAGACCGTAAGGGCTTCTTGGGGCACCTAAAAAAAAAACAATAAAAATATTGTTAATATACTTAAGTGTTTTATGTAATAGATACAGTCTTAATAAGTATATACAATTGTACATAGAGAATGTTCAACTGTATATACTTTGTTCCATGTAAAACATTCTTACATATAATAAATGTAAGAACGTATTAAGCAAATATTTTGTGTAATTAAGTTTATACTATGATAACAGTATAATAAATACTTGCATAAAAGATATGTGAATACGTATTGTACTAATTAATTACCCAGCAAACATGTCAGCATTGAATCAACGTTGAAAACCGGTCGCAAAAGATGTTGCGGAAACGTTGACAAAGTAATCGATTTTGCAAAAATATGTAACGTTGTTTAAGAGACTTTGATTAAATGTTGTAGCGCAACGTTGAAAAAACGTTACTAAAAGACGTTACAAAAATGTCTCAACTAAACGTTGAAAAAGCGTTACTTAAAAAGCGTTGCATAGGCGCCGCAACTTGTGATGGCCCTTGGGTAGAAATCTTTCGTCTTCCTGCTGACAAATGTGCTTCTTACATAACTTCGTGGATTCAGGCTGGCATGGAATCTTTTATTCCCTCTCGACGATTCCAGGTCAAGCCTCACTCTTCTCCTTGGTTTTCCTCACATTGGGCTGCAGCAATTTCTAATCGAAACTGTTACTTCCATATCTATCAGCAAAACAATTCTCCAGAAAACAGACATCTGTTCACTATCGCCAGAAACCATTGTAAAAAGGTTTTGTCTGACGCCAAAGCTCGCTATTCCCAGGTCATTAAATCTTGTATCTCATCACAAAAATTAGGCTCTCGAGACTTCTGGAGAATCTTTAACAGTATCAATAATAAGGGCAAATCTGTTATTCCTTCTCTCTTGTATGGTTCAGACTTTGTCACCTCACCTAAAGACGAAGCTGAATTGTTTGCTAAGAACTTTTCATCAATATTATCTCTTGATTCCACTAGTTGCGTTTTACCTGACATAGCCGTCAAACAGGTTGATCCCTTGCTTGACATTCGCATCACTTCAGCTTCTGTATCTAAAGTAATTTCCTGCTTAGACTCTTCAACAGCTTGTGGTCCTGTCAACATTCCTGTTGTAGTCTTGCAGAGGTGTTCTCCTGAGCTTTCATCCATACTCTCTAAACTATTTAACAAGTGCTTATCAGAGTCTTGTTTTCCATCATGCTGGAAAGCAGCATCTGTTATCCCTATTTTCAAAAATTCCGGAGAGCGATCTGATTCATCTAACTACCGTCCCATTAGTCTTCTTCCTGTCATAAGCAAGGTTTTTGAATCTTTAATCAACAAACACTTAATCTCTCATCTTGAATCAAATAACTTACTTTCTGATCATCGATATGGATTTCGGTCTTCTCGTTCTACAGCTGATGTTCTAACAGTAATAACCGATAGGTTTTACCGTGCATTAGATAGAGGTGGAGAGGTTAAGGCTATCGCACTTGACATTTCTAAAGCTTTTGATAAAGTTTGGCATGCTGGTCTTATCCATAAGCTTTCTTCTTATGGTGTAGCTGGTAACGTCTTTAAGATTATTGAGTCCTTTCTTTCCAATCGTAGTATAAAAGTTGTCCTCGATGGACAACACTCTTCTTCGCATCCTGTAACTTCAGGGGTTCCTCAAGGTTCAATCCTTGGCCCTATACTCTTTTTAATTTACATTAACGATCTTCCAGATATTCTCACACCTAAGGTGGCATTATTCGCCGACGACACTACCATTTACTCTTGTCATGATAAGAAGCCTACACTCTCTGATTGCTTGGAGGGGGTATCTGAGCTTGAAAAGGATCTCACTTCTGCTACAGCATGGGGCTCACAGTGGCTGGTGAACTTTAATTCAGATAAAACTCAATTTTATTCGGCCAATCGTTATCGTAATAATTTAGATCTTCCTATATTTATGAATGGTAATGTACTAGATGAGTCATCTACCATTCATCTTCTAGGATTAACTCTTACTTCTGATCTTTCTTTTAAACCGTATATCAAATCCATTGCAAAATTAGCATCTGCTAAGGTTGCATCTCTTTATCGAGCTCGACACTTTCTTACTCCAGATTCTATTCTCTATCTCTATAAATCTCAAATCCGTCCCTGTATGGAATACTGTTGCCACATCTGGGGCGGATCTTCTAATGATGCTCTTTCTCTTTTAGACAAGGTTCAAAAACGAATTATAAACATAGTTGGACCTGCTCTGGCAGCCAATCTCCAACCTTTGTCACATCGTTGTAATGTTGCTTCTCTTTCTCTTTTCTACAAATACTATAATGGGCACTGCTCTAAAGAGCTAGCGTCCCTTGTGCCATCTACTAAAATTCATTCTCGTGTTACTCGCCATTCAATTAAGTCTCATCCTTTTTCTGTGACTGTTCCTAAGTGCTTCAAAAACTCTTATTCTTCTAGTTTTTTTCCTCGAACATCAGTTCTTTGGAATTCGCTTCCTTCATCTTGCTTTCCTGATTCATATAATTTGCAATCTTTTAAGTCATCAGTCAATCGTTATCTTGCTCTACAGATTTAGTCTTTTCTCTTCCAGTAACTTCCAACTCTTATAGTGGTTGCTTGCAGCCTTGTTGGAAGTGAAGATGTTAAAGAAAAAAAAAAAAAAACTTAACGTTGAAAAAACGTTACTTGAAAAGCGTTACTTTAACGTTGTTAAAGCAGTTGATTTAGCAAGGATTTGTAACGTTGGTAGTAAAACGTCGATTTAACGTGACTCAAAGACGTCGAGTAAAGATTGAAATATAACGTTAAATCAACGCTCAAATGCGCTGGAGAAAATATCGCAAAATATTATTAAACGTGATTAAACTTGGTTATAATGTATATTGAATTTGCAAATAAAACAAAATTGTATGTTGAACTCTGCACTTGCAATATTTCCAAAGTCGATTTTTAATACAAATAGTAATATACAATGAAAAACATAAAAAATATACAGTTTATTTATATAAAATTTACAATTTATAGATAAAAATATAAACATCTTTTTTAAGATTTATGTGTGTGAGTGAATTTACAGGATTTACGCGTGTGAATAAAATTTATGTGTGTGAGTGGATTTACAGGATATCGTATCGATAAGCCAGGATATCATTGAGATACAGAATCTAAATTAAAAAATAAAACTTGTATCATTACCAATCTGAAAGCAAATGTTTAAAAAATGTTATATATATATATATATATATATATATATATATATATATATATATATATATATATATATATATTGTGATTGTCGTAATAGCATAAAATAAGTAATTGTTTTTAAAAATAACACGACGTTTTTTATTCTTGAAATGTTTTGTAGTAAACAACTGGGGTTGATATTTGACTGGGGTCGGGGCCGGGTTTGATAAAATATAGCCGGGGCCGGGGCCAGGGCCGGGTTTGAGACCAGGCTGCATAAACATTGATACATCCTAAAGTAAAATTTAAAATTTATGCTATATTTTGTATATATATGTATATAAGAACATCATTGTAATCAACATGATCATCATAATCATCATAACCATCATCATCACCATCATCATCATGATCATCATTATCATCAACAGCATAAAAGCGGAAAGCTTGACAATGATAATAAAAATTATGTTGATGTTGTTGATCGTCATCATGATAATCATCATCATCTTTATTATGGCACTATGTAAGGCACACTCTTTAAATTTTCTTACTTCTAACACAACCATTTTATACTGAAGCTGCTACCACTCTACATGTTAATACCTGAATTACTTTAACTTTTCTAAAAAAAAAAAGGTTGTTTGATAAAACGTTTTTTCTAATCTGTCTAAGATTATGCCTACTTTTTAAATCATGTTAGAGTCACACCACACATCCATCTGATCATTTTCTCTTTCGGCAAATACTACACTATATAAATACTAAAGTTTATACAACAATGAAAGGATATTGTATGCCAGCATCTAAACAAATAGCAAACAAATATGCTTATATCCATAATATGTGTGCAAAAAGTGCATCTTGGAAGCTTATATTGCTTCTGGAATAAAAGTTTGGAAGCTTTTATGACTTCTCTTTAGTTTTAAATCAAGCCTCATTCTACTCTACATCTTTCAACATAAACTACGTTTTTCAGCTTCTTTTATAGGAACATCTCTCTTAAGAAAAAATTGTCCTTTTAATTATTGCAATAAGCTAATGTATAAACAAAGTCTTGTCTGATGTAAATCTCTGTTATTCTCAGTTTACTAAACCTTGTATCTTATCTTAGATGTTGATTCTAGAGACTTTTAGTTAGTTTTAAACAGTGTTATTAACTAAAGTGTCATATGGATTTGAATTCTGGACTTGAAATCCACAATTTATGATAGACAACAAAATTCATTTATTTACTACAAAAAAATATTGCAATATTGTTGGTGTTCCTATATTGACAAATAAAAACCCTATAATTATTATAATATGCTATACAATAATAATAACAATAATATATATATATATATATAAATATATATATAAATATATATATATATATAAATATATATATATATATATATATATATATATATATATATATATATATATATATATATATATATATATATATATATATATATATATATATATATATGTATATATATATACACAGTAAATTTACGGTTATTCGAACTGGCACTTATTTAAATTTTCTCTCTCTCTCTCTATATATACATATGTATATATATATATATATATATATATATATATATATATATATATATATATATATATATATATATGTATATATATATATATATATATATATATATATATATATATATATATACATATATTGCAACTAAAAATAGTCATGTATCCATACATTAATTAACCAAATAAAACTTACTTCAATAGGTGTAACTATAAATCATCATTTTAAATCATATTATGCACTTCGTTCATAAGATGCAAACCACTTAAAACCAAATCATTCCTCGATCTTTGATCCACAAGAACTTTACTAAATAAATTTATACTGGTAATTAAACTACCACATGTCCAAAAATTTAGACAGTATTATTAAAATCAGCTTTGACCAATAGTTAATATTATACTTTTTTTTATTCTTTACTATGTAAAAAACAAAGAAAAGTTAAATCCGAAGAGAAACAAAATTATTCACAAACATAATTACTTACATTCTTCTTCGGAGTCCTCTTTAGTCGTGAAATTAAATCCTGCACATACTTCTTAATCTATTAGTAATTATTTAGTAAAATAAATATAAACAAATTATGTAAAAACAGTTGCTTTAACTCTTTTAAGTCTAAGCTTGTTGCAGGAATCAATGATTGGAAAATTATTATAGGTAGCTTTCATTGCATGAACACAAGTTGGCCAAAATAACTATCCATCTTTTTTCGAACAAGATGGAGCAACTGCCTCTGCTTCAAACCTAATGTATATGTAAATAATGTATAGATAAATCTTTATATATACATTATTTACACACATACATATATATATATATATATATATATATATATATATATATATATATATATATATATATATATATATATATATATATATATATATATGTATATATATATATATATATATATATATATATATATATATATATATATATATATATATATATATATATATATATATATATATATATGAATATATAGTTTTTATGTGTATACACATAGCTGTCATGTTTTGAAAATGTTTACAAGGGAGACTTTGAAAAAATTTTATACCACTGGATATTTGTCCACTAAAATACCTCTATTGACTAAAAAAGTTTTTTAAAGATTTATTACTCTGACAACTAACTTAAAAATGTCCAAATTTGGCCACTGACTGAGCTAAAATTTATTCTGTATAGATATACTTTTATATATTTATGTTTGTGTTAAGCAATTTTTAACAATCTTTAACCATTTTTCTTAACTTATAAAATGAAAACAATTTAAAAAGTTAGAAGCTTGGTGTATTTTAAGTTACTAACAAGGAAAAGAAAGTTTTTTAATTATTTTTAAATGCAGGTTGGAGATAAATTTCTCTTCAAAATTCAGAAAACTCCTGCCAAATGGGAGAGATTTCATAGGTCTGTATTCAGATACTTAATAAAACTAGTATACAAACTCTTAATAAAGTAATAAATAAATGTTAAACTATATAAATATTAAATTCCTCATAAAATATTAAACTCTTAAATATTGATAATATTCTTTAATAAAATTTCCAAACCATTATACCAACTTTTATATTTTTCAATAAAAATGACTAGACATGACAATATTTTGTAATTTAAAAAAGCATGTATTTATAATACACACAATATTCCTCTCTTACATATATATATATATATATATATATATATATATATATATATATATATATATATATATATATATATATATATATATATATATATATATATATGTGTGTGTGTGTGTGTGTGTATATATATATATATATATATATATATATATATATATATATATATATATATATATATATATATTTATCTATATATATATATATATATATATATATATATATATATATATATATATATATATATATATATATATATATATATATTTATATATATATATATTTATATTATATACACACGCACATATATATATATTTATATATATATATATATATATATATATATATATATATATATATATATAAATATATATGTATATATATATATATATAATATATATATATATATATATATATATATATATATATATATATATATATATATATATATATATACATATATATTAATATTTAAAATATAAATATTTAAAAAAGTTGAGTATTTTATTAAAATCGTCAACTTAAAACAAAACAAAAAAATTTACAAAAATAAGCTGAATAAATCGAATTTACCCTGAGATTTATGTACTTTATATACATTTTGATATAAAATCTAAAAGTTTTTAATTAGTTGCAATAAAATAGGCTATAAAATATAACTTTATTAAAAAATTTTTTATACCATATGCATGCATTCTTTTAAGTTTTCCTTGCATTTCCATTACGGCAAATTATTTTTGTAATGGCTAGTTATTGAGACAATAATTTTCAATGTGCCACTTTCTCAACATTGTCAAAACAACGTTTTATTAACGTTAGCAAAGTAACACTTTTTCAACGTTTTTTAATTAGCACATATTCAACCAACTTTGAAATAACGTTGAATAAGTGTTGTTTTTCAAATAATTTAAATTCGTTGAAAAAGCAGCTAATGTCTAACGTTGATAAACCATTACCTTTGCGACGTTTTTACAGTGATTATTTGCGTACTTATTTTCAACGTTTAATAAACGCATATTTTGAGAAGATAAGATACGTTTACATTTATACGCTTATTCAACGTTGAAAATGTAACGTTTAAAAAGCGGTTTGTTTTTAACGTTGATAAAGAATATACTTCGAAACGTTTTTAAAGTGGCTTTTTGCGTAAGTTGATTCCACGTTGAATAAACGTTTTATTTTGAGAGGCTAAATTACGCTACAATTTCAACGCTTATTCAACGTTTCAATTTACCGCGGTTTAGTATACAAAAACAGACATTGATTCAACGTTGAAAGCGCGTTGTTTTTGTGACTGTAACGCTTTTTCTACGCTGCGACTGGTTTTCAACGTTGATTCAACGCTTACATGTTTGCTGGGTATACAAAATATTTGCTTGATACATAAACACAACAACAATAATTATGATTTTTTAAGCTCGAAAATATTAAAATTGGAGCATTAAATAAAACATATAGATGCTATTTCGATAGGAAAATATCGAAATAGCATCTATATTGTTGTTTAAATGTCTAAATTTACATCATAAATTTATACAAATACTTCAGTATAAAATGAAACAATATATACTTTATTATATTATAGTATATATTTAAAAATATATATACAGTAATTATATATACATGTTTAACATAAAAGTAAAAACTTTTAAAAACTATTCTTAGTAGAGTTATGCTTTGCCATTAAAAAAAAATTGAATCCAACAAGCAGAAAAAGGAAACAAATTAGGAACATATTTATCTAAAATTGAAAATTAATTTCAGTTTTAACGCTCAGAAATTTTTTTAATGAATTTCAAAAAAGTAAGTAAAAAAGGCATTAGCCAAATACATTAGTTAAATGATTTCAAAAAAAAACAATTTTGATATACTGAGACATTTTTCTTCTTAATAATTTCATTTTATTATTAATAAACTGATTAATCCTAATAATAACCTTATTCAAAGAATAAGATTTAGATATTATTATTAATACCTAAAAATATATGGTTGTTATTAAATAAATAATTTTGTAACTAAAGACCGTAGCAATCATTAAAATTGAAAGTTTTCAAGCGCTTGCTATAATAATTTGCCGCTTTTAAACGACCGTACCCTAGGAGCATTTGTTTTTAAAAGTTACGTTCTAAATGTCTTTTAAATTTTTTTTAAACGTTCTTTACGGAAAAAAGTTTAGAAAACGTTTATAAGAAATACAAAATACATTTAAAACGTAACTTTTAAAAACAAATGTCCGCTGGGTGCTATTTAAATACTTTGCGCAATTTCCATCAAGACTAGGGTTGCCAGACGCCCGGCTTTTACGGAGGAGAACACAGTGCCAAACCTGTAAAAAAAATTTTTTTTTTGTGTTCTCTTTTGTAAGGGGTCGCCCATAAAGTACGTACGCTTTTTTTTGTCAACTCCCCCATACCCCGCGCATTTTGCAATACGCTTTTTTGAGTTCTCTCCACCTCCCTAAAAATACCTACGCTTTTAAACTATTTATCTAATAATTTTATGATTTTTTTTTTAAATTTAGTGTTTTTTTTCTTTTATAATCGACCCACTGCCCTCCCATCTCATATACGCCATTTGCAGACCCTCGCTTTCCCTCCGAGCGTACGTACTTTATGAACGATCCCAAAAAGCCGGACATCTGGCAACCCTAATCAAGACAAGCAGTTATTAAACAGTTATTAATTACTATGGCTCAAACCTCTAATAGTCTTTTTATTATATTTAGTATGGCAGGACTTGGTTAGTCGAGAACATTATAAATCAGAAGGTAATTTGCAATAGCTGCTCTAACTTTTTTTTAACCACTGCATAGATAATATACAAATGGATTCTTGAGAGAAAGTAACATTACCATGACTTAATTAACAAGTTTCTTAAAGAGATCTTGATTGTCACAATAATTTATTTGGCCTCATATAAGGGTTCTCTTAATGTTATTTCAGTTATAAATGTTAATTCAATTAATGAAACCAGAACGTTTCCGAATTAAAGCATTTAACTTCAACAGTAAGATGGGTGTCAAATTAATACACAAAGTACATAAAGATTTTATAGATATTAATGTCTAAAATGTAGATAGATAAAACTGTTAAAGATATAAAAAAACTCAAAAAACTTTTTTTATCTGCAGAGATGTTTATAAAGCAAGATAACGATTAACAAACGACTTAAAAGAATGCAAATTGTATGAATCAGGAACACAAGATGAAGGGATCAAATTCCAAAGAATTGATAATCGAAGAAAAAGACTAGACGAAAGAATATTTTCGGAGCACATAAGAACAGTTACAGTAAAAGGATGAGACTTAATTGAATCACGCCTAACACAAGAATGAATTTTAGTAGATGGCAAAAGAGAAGCTCTTTAGAGCACGCCCATTATAGTATTTATAGAAAAGTAGAAACGAAAATATAATTATATTAAAAATAAAAGCGAAGCAATATTACGACAATGTGACAATAGTTGAAGATTGGCAAGAGCATTACAATGCGTTTTTGCTCCTTGTCTAAATGAAAAAAAGGGCATCATTCGAAGATCCGCTCCAGATATGACAAAAACATTCCATACAATGACTAATTTGAGTTTATAGAGATAAAGAATAGAATCCGGAGTAAGAAAGTAGCAAGCACGATAAAAAGATGACCTTAGTAGATGCTAATTTTGCAACGAATTTGATATATGATTTTCAAGAAAGATTGAAATTAAGGATTAGTCCTAAAAGACGAAAGGTTGATGGCTCAATTAAGGATTAGTTCTAAAAGACGAAAGGTAGATGGCTCGAGTACATTACTGTTCATAAATATAGAAATATCGAGATTATTGCAATAATGGTTAGCTAAAAAAATTTGAGTTAGGGTTAGTTCACCAACCACAGAGAGTAGGGTGGAGTGAAAACAACTTTTTTTAAAAAATTCATATTTTCTCCCTGATTTCTATAATAGTTATAGGAAAACTAAAAAAATGAGACAAAAATGAGCAAAATTGGACAAGAGTTATCCCCAGCACCAATTTTTAGACTATTTTAAACCAAAAGTTTCCAAATTTTCTACATTTAATACAGGCGCGGATCCAGTGTTTTTTAGTGTTAAAAATAGCTAACTTCCAGACATAGAGCAAACTTTAAACATTCTTATGTTTATACTTACGTCAAATAAATTGACGTCAAATAATTTGGTTTTGCAAAAAGTTGCAATGATTGGGGCCCGGGAACAATAATGCCCCAAACAAAATTATCCCCCTATCCTAAATTTGAGGGTAACTAGTTTTCAACATATTTTTTTTACTTTTCTCAAGATTTCAAATTTCATGAAATAATCTCTTAGCATTCAAAAGTTATAGCCATATATGGTTTAGATCCCCTCAAGTTGAGGGGGTCACAATTTTTATGTTGCCATAATTGTTGAACAATAAAAGATTAATTCATGAAATTTTAAATTTATTGATGAATTCTTATTGAGTTGACAAAAGTAAAAAATATGTTGCACACTAGTTGTCCTCAAATTTGGAGTAGTGGGGCAATTTGTTTGGGGCATTTTTTTATTCCCGGGCTTCAATCATTGCAATTTTTTTGCAAAGCATCTTTATTTGACGTAAGCATAAATATATTAATGTTTAAAGTTTGCTCCATGTCTTGAAGTTAGCTATCTCTAACAACAAAAAACGCTAGATCCACCAAAATATTTATTGATTTAAATAATGATTATTAGTATCATTTTTTTCAAATGGATTTATATTAGTTTATAAACAGGTTATTTTTAAAGAGTTTTATAATTGAACAGTTGCATATAATACAAAATATTTACATTTATGGAGCAAAAATTGTACTAATTAGTGTTATAATGTGCCATGGTATCAAATATTGGCATATTCTTCCTAGATTGTAGACGGATACGTATCATACCATCTCTATTTATCTTGCCACAAACCGATGCGGAAACTTCTGTCACCATCTTTACACAACATTCCACTGCTTGGGTGTGGCACGGCAACTCATCCAAAAGATCAGATAGTAGAATGCAATACTCTTTTACCTGCTCCAGCTGCTTGTCAGTGAGCTGAATTGTTAATGGTGGTTCCATCATCTGCAAATTACTCCAATCAACCAACTTCCACGTATTATTTGCCATAAAATTCAGAGTAGGAACTTTGAACTGACGCACACTTAATTGGTTAGCCTTCATAATTCTTTCTTTTCTAGCTCTCTGTATACGCCTAACACTTAATTCTCGGATATGTGGCTGATCATCTGATACCATTGCCAGAAGAATATTCTCTTGATGACCTAAGAATGCATTTGCTTGAATTACTTTGTCTACTACTTTACATAATGGAGCTGGCAGATAACGTGATTTTGCAGTTGTGCTGTACAGAGGCCTGCTGCCATGAAAGATAGAAGACTCTTTCTTGATGATGAGCCACATAGGGGCATAATCTCGCATAATAAACGTCAATAAAATTACTAAATTTGACACGAGACTGCTGGTAAAAACATATATTCTGAGGATCCTATTGGCAGTGGTGAGACCCCTAGAATAAACCAGTTCCCAGAGCTGCGCTTCTCCAGGTTGGTAGAACAAATACCACTTAATACTGCTTGGCAGATGTCAAAAATATAAAGTTGATCTGTACTGAGCACTTTTCTGTCCATCTCTGGCATTTCTACATTATGGTTTATAGGTTGAAAATCAACAACCTTTAAGACCTCACAAGTATCAAGGGACTTTTCAATTAAGCCTGAATAGCATCTAGGACCAGATGTTGGTTCATCCAACTGCAAACAAATGGCGTAGTGGAAGCTCCTTTGCATGTAGCAAACAAAATACCCATTGCAGAGACCGTTAAAGTTCTAACTCGATCAGTCTGATAACACCACCTTTATTTCCCGAGTTTACATT